TCCTCACAAGAAGTACAAAATACAAAACCGTCGTAACGGTGCGCAATCCGAAAAGATGCACAGAACGCAGTCCAGGCGATAACACCGTGGCGTAAGCTTCCGTTCGGTGTTCCACTCCCCTCTTCCGGCGTTGCAGAGAGCTGTTCGGGCCGCGCTGCCCCACGCCATCACCAGTGGTGTAAACCGGCGGCGCGGACGCCCTCTGTTTCCACGCAGACTTCCGGGTCAGACCAGCTGCAGTTGGTGCAATATCGCCAGCTGAGTGGACTGACGCTGTCCCTTTAAGTTATGTCCTGCTCAGTGCAGTTAAATCACGGAGATCTCATTTCTAGCCAAACACTTTTCAACTTTGCAGAATGAATGACCCCCACGACCTTCATATAAGTGCCGTTCACAATTTGTAAAAGGCAATAAACTGAAATTAGTGTGCCTGAAATAGGACACGAATTACCAATCTGCATATGATTGCGCAGCTGCTGGTATGCTCAACACAACTAGGGAGTATCGGTGCCATTGCACACAACTAGGGAGTCTGGGTGTCATTGCAGGTCAGCAGAAACGGGTGAATAGCATACGCATCGTGGTCAGAACTTTTCATCCAGTGTAGGGCGTCATGGCGAAGCAGCCACCAGGTTCAGAGTCAGGTGAAGGTTTACAACCTTTTCCTCTCATACCGCTTCGTAAGGAGCGCTACATTTGGCCACAATAAAAAGCATGCATTTAGCAGTAACATACAGCCAGACCTCCACCTGCTGGTTCGCAGATCAAATCCTTGAAGATGATGGTCATGATTCAGCCCTGAAACAGAGAGGATCACGGTAAAACACGGCACATTGTAGTTGATCATAGTAAAACTTACTGCATCAAGTTAGCTCACACCGGATCCTACAGAAACGTCTGAGAACAGGTTACAGACAACTGAACCCAACTGAACCTGATGATTATATACACAAACCGAGTACTATACATGCATATATATATATATATATATATATATATATATATATATATATATGTGTGTGTATGTATGTATATTCATATTGCGACTGCAAGACTGTGGGCGGCAGCCAATCAAGCAAACCAGACAGAGACAAACTGAGCAAGATGCTATCATACTTGATCAGAATGATCCGACAATGAATTTTTTGATAAACAGATTACATTGACAAACTGATATGAATGCGTGACACTCATATATGCTGCTATGGAAAACCAAAGCTGTCATTTTTTCCAAGCCAACTAGAATGACTAAATGCCTTCCGGAGAGGGAGGCGACCAATGTATTAAGCATCCCTCTAAGGATCTCCGAAAAGACTAAAGGACCCGCCCGTGCCGTCATGATGGCAGCCGGTGGGCGCCTGGCACTGCGACGGAACGGCCCTGCGGGTCTTGATTGGAACGATCATCAGCTTTTCGCAGATGAGGAGAAAATGTACTACAAAACGATTCATGGCTTGTTCGTCCATGCCCCATGAACTTAAAAAAGCTTAGAGTGCCGCTTTCTAGCCGCATGCTTATATATTAATGCATGTAAAAACCAGCAAACGTAGAGAATATCTGCTGGAAAGCTACCAAATGATACTTTTTTGGTCGGCTGCTAGGCCCGCGAAGTACCAAACCCAAATAACATACGCCGCTGCAGGTGTGCGGCGGGGTAAATGATGATGAAATTAGGATTTAAGAGCGCGTCGGCCAGCGTCGGGATGGTAGCATAGCCGTAATAGTTATTGAAGAGAGCTCGAAGATCAGAAGGCAACGATGATGGGCAATGGTGAGCGCATTTCACATGGTCAAACTTCAAGCGTACGGCTCTGGTCAGGTTACCCCACCAGATCCCCTGAAGTTGAAAGGCGTTCTTTCTATCCTGTCTGGTGAGAAACAGCGTAGAGCAAAGATACAAAATAGCACATAGTGACTATTATATGGCCTATAAAAAGACAAACCTGCGCAGACTACGGGTGCTATAGGTGTAGTTTCACAACGTTGGTTGGGTGAGGATATTCAACAGTAAATATAGGCGCAATTGCCCCCCAAATTACGCGAACGAATAGCTCTCTCCACGGGTTTGCTCCACGCTCTTCTGAAACTTCACTGGGCGGAAGCACCATTGGGGGCGGGGGTATAGTTTTGCGCTGCGTGGTTGCATGCTGCACCTCTTCCTGCCCCGCGTCTGCTGTAGATCGGCGACCTGGCGTTGCTGTGAATCCAGCGGTGCCCGTGGAATGGCCGGCGTGGGCATTACAGCTGAAAACACACGCTAGACCTCATGTGTATTACATTTGCGTTTGTATTTGAGTGTGCTTAGTACGCCCCACAAAACGTCATTCGTGATGACAGTCAATGTGGAGATATTCGTGATGACACTTAATGCAGCTAAATTGGCTGGGGAAGCTGTGTGGTATTCGTACTGTGTTCATCTTCAACAGTCAGGAAGAGGGCAGACTCTTGAGGGTGGCAACAGCTCGAAATTTCTAGTACCGCTGATCTAATCAATATTTAGCGCTAAGACGTCATTTAACTAGCATATTTTGTTATATTGAAGGTTGTTGAGTATACGTTCGAATTTTTAACTCGTAATGACTTGAACTCATTATTTTTAAAATAACTATTTTGCGGATCCTTGACTCTCGTCCTGCTCCTGTTTAGTTTCGCTGATATATCGACAGCACCAGAGGCAGCACCACGAGTTTTAAGATGAGAGCAGGGTTTTTCATGGGACCTCCTCACAGGGGGCCTCCTGTCGTTTTCGACGGGAGGGACACCGAGGACATGTGTCCCTTTATCGTATTGTTACATGTACCATATTGCAGCAGATAAACGTCGACAGTTAAAACAAAATAGAAGGGTGATTAACCTCATTATACAGCAAAGGGTCTCGCTAACCTAAAGCAGGGCCTCCTATGCCGAAAAAGGCCTTTCGATATAAAGAGAGTAATGTAAACTCATAATCCAGAACAGGTTCCTTACGATACACAAGCGTGTTTCCAAATCTAGCTAAGGGGGCTCATTATCCCGTAACAGGGCATTGTGACCCGGAGTCGTGGCCATCTCCCGGATGAAAAGGGCCTTCCGTCCTGGGAACTTGGCCTCCTGAATATACAACATGCCGCCTTAAACAGAAAATGGGCCTCCTAAATCAGGATAAAGGGCCTCCTAGTTTGTAGCGGGGGCTTCCCGAGTCATCAAAGGGGTTTCCTTAGTACAACATTGGGTCTCCTGATCTAGGGCATTGGCTACCGCATTCCTAAAGGTGACCCCACAAGTCAGTACCTAGAAAACGGGCCCTTTGGTGTTGCAACGGTCTTCTGAGCCCAATTCAGTATTCTTTAACTCAGTTATGGGGACCTCGTTTATCTGAATCTTGGCAATTTACGCGCACCTACCATGTTTTTAATTGAGAAAGAAACTGGCTCCCAACAACTGGAGATAAAACATACTCTTGCTCCCCTTTTCTGTCGGCAGGGAGGCGGGCAACTGCTCCCTCTGCCCCCCCCCCCCCCCCTGCTGTGCCTCCCCAGGACAGCACCTACTTTTTCACACATGTCACTTTTGTGTTTAATGCGTCTGTATTATGCGTGTCAATTTTGTGCTCACAGCAGTAGCGGCCTGAGTGCACAGTAAGACGACTTCTCTAGTTTGGTAACTTTGACGCACATTCTTCCAGGAGCGGCGTTTTTCTGTCTACAGGCACAAATGCGCTGGCGCGCACGGTCACTGATAGGCTCCTCAGCGCCGTGCACGATTCGAGTGGGGCTACAATGAACGAAAAAGTGATCACGTTTTCGGTGACAACACGCCCAGAATCAAAGCAAACCTTGTGTCCCCGAAACGTGGGGGGTGGGTGATAGAAGGCGATTGGTGTGAGCGTATTGGAAGCAACCGAGAACTGAGGCTGAAACGCATGCAAAACCGGACCTCTGTCAGGCCAGGCATCGCAAACCGACGACGAACGCGAAGATGAGGTAGATCAGGAGTGAATAGCGTGTCATCCTATCGTGCCGTGTCGTCTACCCAATCATACCTGGCAGCATGAAGATGGTTGAATGTTCGCATCTTTACTTCCAGTTAACCTCGTTTCAAGATCGAGCGGAAAAGGGCAACAATTTGAGCAAGTCGGTAGCAAACAAAGTGGGAAAACGTACCTTTTATTCGCTTATTATCATGACAGCTTGATGGGTTTAAACTGGCAAATTCCACGGTCTGGCGTGCTTAAGGCGAACAAAGAAAATGGTATGAGGCTTGCACTGGTTGGCAGCACCAACAAAATTACTCGTTCAATCTCTGGAAGTGCCCCTTGATTACTTCAACGCAATTGATGTTGATTATATTCTGCCCTGGAAAGCGCCTGTAAAAGGATTCCTGTTATTTTTAAGCATGGGCTTCCCACGGTGGTCGGACCACAGCACGGTATTGTGCCATCCCATTCGACGTTGATGTGGTTACATTGTTGACTTACCGCTCCGTTATGTAATAGACAATGGACATTGGATGCAACTTTTTGTAGACGATTATCACCAGCATTTACATCGGATATTTGGCAGACATGCCACTGGAATTAGCGCATGCGAAGGTAGACGGTCGTTGAAGCCGGCGTCCAAAGGCGGTGGAAAGGCACTGGAGATAGAGATCGAACAGAAACTAACCACATTTGCCATCTAAGAAATCTGCTGAAGACGTACCGAACTGCATGCCCTTCATGGCTTTGTGTGCTATAAACCAGGCGATTGTCCCACGCATGTAACTTCCTTCATAAATCGAAGGAGTGTGGGTAATAATTGTTTGCGTTGGTTTCAAATGATTTTTCCAAAAATTTTCAAAACTTCCCTTTATTTCGCGCATTTCTTTGTTATTCCCTATCTCTAACGAATCATTCGCCGTAAGCAGTCCTCGCGCTACAGAAGGCCATTTCACCTTTAAAAAACCTGTTTGTCCAATGATTGGCCACCCACTCACCGTGTCTCCATGTCCGTGTCTTATGCAGTTCGATCTTCTTGTTCCAGTCTGTGAATGTTCAAGCCCCAGAAGAAGAGGAAGTGACTCCCTCGCCTGAATCGACAGCCACAACTCCTGACGCGCACTTCCTACTGTCGCTAGCATGAAGTCCTCGTCTTTCTCTCTGCGCATCATGCGAAGGGTGAGTGGAAAGTGGGAAGTGGGGTGGTCACCTGCTCGGAGGAGGGCCAGGACAGGAGAGAGGAGACTCTTGTGTTTCAGTTGGGTTAGCTTAGGAATGCGAGATGCGTCGATACTACTCACCAGAGTCCTACCCTTTTCCTGATGTCACCGCGGTGCCGCGACATTGGCTCTCTGGCCTCTACATCTCTGAAATGGGACGACCGGCCTGGACTTGGTGCGGCGAGTTGAGCCACTGCCGTGTAATGTCGCTGACAACGGTGACGTTGGTGGAACACCGGATCAGAGGCATCGGCGCCGGTCGATATCTGGCGGGCCAGTGTCGTGTCGCTTTGTGACCTGACAAAGCCTTGCCGCCGCGGTCCGCTCCGCCGAACCGCAGCGCCGAGGCCGAATCACGCCGCTAGCGTCGCGGGAAATCCTCCCAATCGCCGGAGACGATAACTGGTATTTACACCGCGGCGCGTGCCACGCCTGCGCTTGAACTCCATCTGCGGCGGAAACTCTCCATCATTCAGGCTATTGTGCTCCTTCTTTTGTCAGCGCGCCAACTATTCCGGGCAGGAGGAAGAAAATGTTCTCCGGTAAATAGGCGCTGATGAGCGCAACCAGTCGCAGCTTTGATGTTTAAGATTAGCGCTTGACGCTCTGAGGATTTTGTGCCACGAAGTTTAGAAAATGAAAAGCCGTAGTAATCAGGCTAACTTTGAGCGTGGTAATGAAAGCCTGAAATTCCTCCAGCCGGGGTCTAAAATGTTTTGTTTTTACGGTGTCTGTGTCAGTGTCAGTGTAAATTTGTCTGCCTTCATTTCATTCGCATTTACCTGCTTCGTCATCACAGCATACCAGCACACAGCTTGCTTGTCCTAGCCATAACACAGCACCTACTGCACTGTTTCCGGATCGGACCGGCGATGCGCGACTGCCAAGCGTCCGCTCCGGATCGCGTCTCACGGTCACTTTACATCGTGCACACAAACGGTGGGGCGTTTACTGCCAGCGATGATTGCGTGAAGGATGTAGAGATGTCATTGTGTGTGTGAGTGCATGCGTATGCGTGTTGTGTACATATGTACGGTTTGTGTTATGTATCGTGCATTGCATGCCCGTGATCTGCATAACACTTTCATGCTATTTAGCTGCTCGCACTTTATGTTGCACAGCACCTATTCTTGACCTGCTTTCGTTTCACACCGTAATTGAGCGAAACCCCCAACTTTTTTGGCTTCAAGTCGCAGTAGGCCTATGACATGTTTCGTTGGTGGTAGTAATTTTGGGCGTCGGCACGGTCCGTTATCTCGTTATTCCGTTACACAAAGAGACTTCCATTTAACTATCAGAGTAACAAACCTACTACTTCCAAAAAAGGTAACAAACCGAGAGGCTTCCGTTAGTTTTATGTTGCATCACTCAACATCAATTTAGTCCGCTTTTCTGTAACCCTGTTATCCCGTTACTATTAGTTTTAAGGCGCGGAGAGTAGGGCAGGCTGTGTCGGATGGCAGATCTAGATGAATGATGGCGCCAAAGAAAGAAAAGCATGCTTTTTTGGCGTGTGTCAGCCAACTTCTGGAAGCAATAAGATAGGACGGATTGTGTCGTAAATGTTACAAATTTGAACTGCGGGAAAGCGTGTTGTTTTCACCTGACAGATGTACACGCACAACGGGAGGCCTGAGGCCTTGTATCCACACGGGAAAGGAGACTGTGCGTGACTGGGGCCTCTTTCTTTGTTCTGGGTGCACATACAACTAAATCTATTGTGCATGCATCAGACACGGATGAAAAAGCCCTCCACATACAATTACCAGACGTTATCTACTGTCGCCAGATCTAAAGGGATCTATCTAATGTAGGGAATTTGAAGGCCTGTTTGGGAGATAACAGGAAAATATCTCCCTACGATAGATCTAAATGGGATGAAGCGGAGCTGAGCCCACATTCAGTCCAGATTCGGTCGCGCCCAGATTTGGCAGAACAAATTGAGAGAAATTATTTTACAGATCAATATCTCGCTTAGGAAAGCGAAATCCTGTACAGCCGAAACATCTCCTGAAAGCTGCCTTTAATTCAAACCAGTCCACATGATGGTTTGATGTGGTATGTGCAAAACTGGAATGCACATCTCCAGAGGAAAAATAAAAGACAGTCTAAAAAGTCATTTCTTTGGCCCCGTCCGTAAATTTTCGTTTGAATTACGTCATTGAACCATCGACCGATGTTCATCAGCCTGGTTGCTGAATCCTATACGCTGTTGATATTAAGTAGCGTCCGGGGTTTTAAAAATACTTTAAAATGGGATTTTACTTAACTGATGGCAAACATGGCCAAATTGATGAGCATAGTTTGATGGTTTCAATTCTCACCAATGCTACGCCCTGCCAATACTACGCCTTGCTACGTACAAATAAGTTCTGAGGGTAGTAATTCACAATCAGGTAGGATATACACGGACGGGCACGCAGGTATTTGTGCGGTTAGAGCTATACCTTAACTGTCGCCCACGGCTGGCCGCGGAGGTCCCTAAGGCCTTTCTAGCACAACCTGTGAACGCCTTTGAGGACCTGTGCTGAAATTTTCGGTCGCTAAATTTTGATGTACGCGCATACATTTGGTGTAGTTAATATAGTTTGACATATATATATATATATATATATATATATATATATATATATATACATACATACATATATATACATACATATATATGTGTGTGTGTGTGTGTGTGTGTGTGTGTGTGTGTGTGTGTGTGTGTGTGTGTGTGTGTGTGTGTGTGTGTGTGTGTGTGTGTGTGTGTGTGTGTGTGTGTGTGTGTGTGTGTGTGTGTGCGCGCTGTGTGTGTGTGTGTGTGTGTGTGTGTGTGTGTGTGTGTGTGTGTGTGTGTGTGTGTGTGTGTGTGTGTGTGTGTGTGTGTGTGTGTGTGTGTGTGTGTGTGTGTGTGTGTGTGTGTGTGTGTGTGTGTGTGTGTGTGTGTGTGTGTGTATAAAATTATGCAACTTTTTTCGAGATCTTAGATTGCTTTGAAGCCCCCCCCTCCGCAATAGGACGAAGGTTACTAAAGCGACCGAACACAAAATATTAGTGGTTAAAGAACATAATTCCGCTCTTGTGAAGACAGACACAAATAAACGTACAGCCTGAAATTGGTTTCCGGAACAACCAAAAAGAGCCTGCAAACTAATTGAGCAAAAAGCGAAGCTGTGCGAAGAACAAAGTTGTGCGAAGAAGCATGCTTGTGTCTGGTGCTGTCATTTTCCTGGGCTATCGTTCATATACTATGCACGTGTCCTTACCTGGTATTGGCGACTCGATGGTGATACTGAGCTCTACTGGTCTGCACGTGCACTCGATATCGTTTGACGTGACCTCCCAGACATTTCATGAAGTCCCCCGCGGTGCAAGCCGTCTTCAGACTCCCCCACCTGTCCGACGTCCCACCCCACCTCTTATGGCCCCCGCTGCAGCAACGGCTGTTCCAGCGTCGCTGTGGGCAGAGCTCCACTCCACCAGGTGTCCCTGAAACGCACCTCTGCCGCCTGGTGAGGCCGGCCGCTCCCAGGGGAGCAACGCCGCGCCAACGATGTTGTGTTCCAGCCGAGGCACGTGCGGTCCCCCACCTGCGTCCGGTCTCCCAGCGCCGCTAACGGCTTTATGGAGGATGGCGCGCCTGTCTAATGTCCGTAAAATGGGAGGAGCCGCGCCGCGGTGCGGAGCGTCGCCGGTGCAAGCTGTGGGCGATAGGGTGGTGGTGATGGTGAGAGCTGGGTGTAATCTGTAGCGGCGCGCAGTGAAAGTCAACGACTTTGGTAGTTAGCATGTGCGAGTATTGGAAGAAAATGCACATTTACGTTATTTAAACGTACGCAGCTTTAACAGCTGTCCAAACTGCAGGGAAGTTTTTCATAGTTGCATCGGTCCAAAAAGTGATTTGGTGTGGGCTATAGCTACTACAGCTGCCGAACTGCAAGGAGGGCATGCATACTTGGATCAGTCCTGACAGTGATTTGTTTGAACCTATTCAGACATGTCTTATAGCCGGTTATGAAGATATATCCGGAGGGCTGCAATATGGTGCCATTTTAACTTGGGGTGCCAAACTTTATGAACATTTCGAATCGCATTGTATGTTATGTGTGCCACGAGCATTAATATCAGGACAAACGCACCGTGGGCTATCAGCAATTTCGTTTTTGTCATCGGTCAAAGGCATGCTGTTTGAATTAATAGCAAAATCGAAGAAGAGATTTTTGAAAAGTATTGAACCGAGCTAGGCTCTGAAATGACGCATTCAGAAGGCTTTATTTCTCACAGCATGGCTGGCCGCGACAGACTGAGCAAAAATGTAGGCTTTGGCAAACCGCAATCATCTATCGTATTGACCAAGCAATAATGTTGTTTGTACGCAAAAGTTTGCTCTCCTGAAACCAATTCGAAATATGTCTGGTATCTGCTTAGAACAGAAAAAGTAGTCAGCACCATCTATTTTTGTGTGACATTGAAACACTGCGTTTTGCATGATGGAGGTGTGGGCCATATTTAACAGACATTTACAAGCACTTTAAAGGTTTGAAACTATGGTGCTGGGATGGAAGTATTTCAGGGGCATCCCAAAATAACTAAGCAGTTACTTTTATGACCTAGGATCAGAATAGCATGCACTATATTATGGTTACATGGGGCCAACCACGTGCTCTTGCCATTGGTGACATAGCTGCAGGGCTGTGCACCAAGCAAGCGTAGCATGCCTCCGGTGCTGATAAATGGCAAGCAGGTGTATGCTGATAAACAGTAAGCAGGTACATAAATATTTAGGTGAAAATGTGTGGTGTGTGGTGTAGGGCCTTTGCAATATTCTCCCCACGATGTTCCTACTTCATGCCGTACCATATGGTGACGCGGCTTACGCCGTTTATTTTCCCTTTGCAATTACACATTTCCTACTGCAGCAAGGTTTAAGAAGAAAGAGGATGGATAAGGGGTCGCTAGCACCAGCAATTAATG